TTTCACTATTTTGTATCATCTGTGAAAAAAATCCACATCATTCAGTCCCAAAGGTTTACAGCTCAGTTTGTAATAAATAAAATAAAATCAGCTTCAAGTTTTGTTGAAAACACAAATTAATTAGAAACGTTTCATTAAAGAAGAACCCGTCCAGAGGACCTATACAATTTTTTTTTTCCTTTTGATTTTTTACCTGGATTACTGAGATGCATCAGGACATTCCATCAGATATTTTCAACGCAGTTTTCAACATTATCATAATTGCCTGTTTTCCCGTCATGCCTGATCTAAATGTTAAACATATCAAATGTTTACCCAGTTTGAGCCATTGAATTTGAACTGAGCGGCAGGTACGTGACCTCTTTGTGCTTCCATGATTAACACGCTGCTCTGAATCAGGCAGCGAAAAGCGGGTGTGAGTTTAAATAGGTGTGATGAAAGTGAAACCCGATCCAGTCGCACAGCACACTTGGCTGGACGAGGCGTTCGCAGTATGACTGAGTTTCCTTTTGCCTCCAAAGCTGCATCGCATCAGCTGAATAATTGCGTATTTGAAGGGCAAAGCCGAAACAAGTGAGTCAATCACAGCCACAGCTGTCCTTTAAAACCACAACCTATTACACGCTTTTCTGCTCGCTTTTAGTGGCGAGCGTAACAATCCCTGACAATTAAAGTTAGTGGGGAACATGAGTAAATGCTGCATGAGATCAGAGCTTCATAAAACCCAAAAGCTCTGRTCAGGGTCTGCACTTTGACTTTATATGTCGAGGCTGAATGCATACGAGTGTTGACTGCATGTCACTTTTAACCCTGCTCATCTACTAATGACTCAGTACTCATCACCCGAGGGCGAGAGGGCCATAATGTTTTAGCCCATGTTTGTGGGTCAGCATGCACGTGTCTGTTACAAAAACATTTCCACCAAACAAATTTAATTGAAACAAAACTGATTAACATTTGAAGTCAGCTCAATTCAAGATGGCTGCCACAGCAATGGGTTACASAAACTGACCTAAAATTTAGTGTGGTAGTATCTGAGACTGATGCCCAACACATTTTCTGTTTGGAGTCAGCTCTGTCTATTAGCAAAACATTTAATAAACCGCTGAACACTTTTTTAAATTAAAACTTAATTTATTCTTTATTTCAAACAAATAAAATAAAACAAGAATAGATACACATGTCATGGAGGTAGAACAGCTGGAGTGAGCAGAAACCATGTGACTGTGTGATCTACTGTAGAGGCTGAGCAGCTAACGGGCAAGAGTCTGGATTTCCCATTACTGCACATGCTGGTAACATAGCAAAAAAAAAGGACTGATGATGTAGAAATCATAAAAACTGTTAACAATAATACCAACAAAATTATTAATAGTTTTGAGTGTATAATCTAAAGTTTTAAATACTGCCAGAAAGCTGTCAACAAAAGATAAAACAGGAAAACGTCTCTTCACAACACAAGTAAGCAGATTTGGTCTTATTCAGCCCAATGCGATCTGACCAGCACATAATGTAACAGTTTAAATTTAAAATAGGCTTATAAAATCAATGTAATCACTGTTATTTATTCACCTGGTTATTACATATTAGCTTGTATATCATATTGTTAAACAGAATATAGCACTCTGCTGAGTCGTGCTACAATTTAGCACAAATTGATAAATATTACAAACTGATTTGTCCTCTGATTTAGGTMATATTTACACAGTGTAAAATAATATTTTATTTTTGATTATTTTTAGGTTTCTCTTAGACGAATCTGACCTGTTGAGATGGTTATATTAGTTTCATCCCATAACCAGGTCTGCAGAGAACATTTTCAAAGTGTTGACTGTAAATATTTATTATTATTATTTATAACAGGAAGAAATAAATATACTTAATTACTAGTTGAAGTCATAATTTTTCAACTAGCTAAAAGTCTATGTTACAAATTGACTTCAGGTCTAGTTTAGATCATTGTTACTTATAAATTGCTGGAATATATTTTACTGCTTGTAAAACATAACAGATGGATTGATTGATATTGAGCAAAAAAATTGGTGCAATGTTACCAACACATGCTTTAAATATGGCACATCTTTGCTTATAACCTTTCTCTTAACTGAAGTCAACCTTGTTTGTCTGTTAGCAAAATATCTTATAAAGTACTAATATTAAATATACACCTGCAGCTAAATAAGTTTTGCTGTCAACCTGAATCAATATGTTGTTCTCAGCTAATCAACCATTGCCTACACATACATGCCTACAACTCAATGAGCTAAATGTGTTGTGGTAGTAGCTGACAGTCTTTCACAAGACACATTCCAAGCACTTGCACAATATTGCAAGATTGTTAGTATTATTTTCAAGGTTTGACCAAATTTGGCTACTACTGTCATTTCTCCTCACAAGATGATCTGTCTATGCTGGCATATAAATGGTGATGAGTGATATTAGGCTTCAAGGAATGCAAGGCTGTGAGTTATTTTTATTTTTTTTGGCAAAGACATTAACAGTGGAAGCACGAGGAATCACGATGAGTTTAACGACGATGTAAAATCTGCTACGGTCTCCTTTCTGCATGTGACAAACACACATAGGCCACAGGGGTCACAAACTGGCAGAGACTCCTGGAGGTTAAGTTTGTTTTTTCAGCTGTTTGGCCACGATTTGCTTGAAGCCTTATAAGCGCATGTGGTAAGTGATTCAGAACACTTCAGCCCATCTGCCTTCTCCTCTTCCAGCTCTGATTTTTAGTCATTTCATTCCAGTTTACATCTCACTGACCCCCCCCCCCCCCCCCCCCCCCCCCCCCCCACACACACACACACACTTTGGTTCATGCAGTTCCAAAAATGAGTACAACACATGTTAAATCTGCCACTGTTCTCTTTCTCCTTATCATCAGAAGATCGACTTGTTCAGACAAATCCATTTATCGTTCTCCTCGTTGTGGTTGCGTATCAACACAGAAAGAAGTGACCTCTGACAACCACAATCCAAGACATGACGGATTTATTATTGAAAACGCTGGAAGCCATTGTTGTCTAGGCTCATATTGCCAAATTGGGCTGAAGAGTTTTCCCTCCCCCTCTTTGTTCTTGGCGGCTGACTAAGTGCTTGCAGCTGTCACTTGAGTGTATTCTCTTTGCCCAGTCTATGTGGCTTGGCTGCACTTTTAGCTGGCTGTTTCTTCACTGTGGTGACAGTATGCCATGACTGATTTCCGTTGACTCACTTTCATTGTGACCACCGTGTGTCCTTCACAGAAAGTTTTTTTTCTTTCTTTCTTTCCTTCTTTTATTTATCTATTTTCATTTTACAAGTGCTTGATCTCATCTAGTTAACGCTGCAGCGTAACCATGTTGGCTGATTATTTAGGCAGCGCTCCGAGCAATTTGCTGATGAAAAGAAAGCAGAGGAGATGCCAAAAATTGTTGTGCTGACAATAACACAATGCAAGATGATGTATGAGGAGTAAATAGTGTTTAGATGTGGTAAAGACTTGATTCATTTCTCCTTCTGTCACACAAACATTCTAATTGTAGTCCCGCAAGGACAGAAAAAACAAAGACTATGCATTCTTTGAAGGAAGGCATTCCCTCACCTTTCATGTCGGAGTTTTAGACTGAGATCATCTTGTGTTGAGAAACGATGGAGTTGTAGCTGCTTTGGTCAAACCTTGAAAGTATTGAAAGCATATGTTGTGAATGACTCTCAACTACCACCACATAACATTTTAGGCCAACATTTGTGAAACTGGCTGAGATATAGCCATTATTGTGTTTATTGTGGCAACCATCTTTAATTAAGTTGACTTTGAAAGTTAATTGGTTTCAGATATCCATCCAATGTTACATTTCTAAAAGCTCTATTAAAATCCAAGTCAAGGTTTCATTAAATTTTCTCAGTTTCTCAAGATATTTTGGTAACAGACTGACACACATACGCACACACAGACTCCAACAAAAATCATTTTTGTCCGCCTTCGCTTTTTGGCGATAACTAAAATGTGATGATAAAAAAAATACTTTTTATTAGCTCCATAAACTGATGTCTAAATTCACATTTTCAGCCAAAAGGAGTGAGGCATTTTCAAACCTTTGTCTTGCCAGTGCTTTCATGCAAATTAGTCACACTAGAAGCAGCTTATCTGTGAACAATCATAGGTGGCATTTGGAGGAGGGTGAAATAGCCCCACGTGATTTTCATATCTGCATAAAGCTCAGTCAGTCAGGTTCCTCCAAACAGACTCCGACGCAGAAGCAAACACAAAAGCCTCTTTCAACACATACACACACGTCAGGAGTTTATCTCCAAACAGTCTGGTCCATTGCTGCAGAAACTCGCACCTTTCTAAATGAAATGCAATTAGAGGTGCACATTAAGGAACTCGAGTCATTTGTTATGGCTTTACTGGAAAGTTCTTTTATTCTAACAAAGCAGCAACTTTTATCACAGTGAGCCAGGTAAAAACATAAAAGGAGGGAGTATAGCATCCTTGTGCACAAATAAAAAACATTAGAGTACTTGTAAACAGTTTTTGCCAAAAGGCAGAAACACTGGCTGGCCGTGGCTATATTTGGTTTACGGCGCACGCTGTTTGTTCACACGATTAGCAGCCATTCAGCATCGCATTTGAACATTACCTGAGCAGCACACCTGCACTGGCCTTACTGGACTGCCGTGATTCACTGCACGCCCAATAAACTTAAAGTG